GACGTTGTTTAGTCGATGGAATTGTGGTTGAGTAAAGGAATTGAATTTTCTGGTTTGTGAGGAGACGCGAATTCGGATGTGGAGGGAGGCAGAATCATGAGGTAATTTGGGATGCGCCCTGTACCATCCACTCACGAGGGAGGTTTCAGGATCCTTGCTGAAGTGAAAGTTTTCTGGTTCATATAACAAGGAGAGCGTTTCTAGTTCCTCCTCCTGCTGAGACATCGCGCTATGTTGAATGAAGGCTAAACCTGCATATCAGGCAATGTCGACAGAGAAACCAATGAAATTACTGCATCATTTCCATTGGTTAGGCATTTCAGTTGGCAGGTACGTCAATTTACAGGTGTTTGCTGTCGTCATTATGGTATGAAAGGTGTACATTTGAGTAACAATGTGTAGTTCATTTACTTGAGTTTTAGTGAAAAGTTGAAGTGTCAATGATGTAATGTCCACCAGTTGCCTTTAGCCTTTGTGAATCTGCTTCCAGATTGTTCATTCGTGCAGTGTTGTCATTAATGCTGACTTTGCGAAGAGATTTTCACATCCCATGCTGGGCATAGATGCAGACGGCGATGAAAGCAGTCGTGGACCTTGTGATGTCATGAACAAACCCGGTATGTGTCTTCCACTTGACAAACTATGAAATCATTCTTAAAGACACTTTGCATAAAAATATCTTTAATTGTACCTTGAAATCCCAAAAATGGGTTTTGCTGAATCATTGGAACGTAGGGATACCCTGGTTCATCTGAAGTATATCACAAACGTAAGCGCGAGTCGACACATGACAGCCTACGTTGTGTAGACGGCGCTATCTACTAAAAATGCATCAGCACTAGAAGTTTTACCTTTATCTGTGCAGTACGTTGCATCAGTAGAGGGAACGAATGATATCTTATAAGGAATGCTTCACTATTTTTTAAATTAGATGTATCCACGTTTGTTGAGGGTGCAATTGGACAGCTAGTTTGACAACAGCCTGTGTTAGCTGGGTTTTCACTTGCTAATGGTAGTGAATCCAGGAGTGATCAAGAGAACTACATTGAATCATCTTTAAGCAATGCATCACTTGTGCTGAACTTTTGCACAGAAAATATTTAAGGACATCAATTTTGTGTTGCAAAATCAGAACAACTCCATTGGAGTAGAATGATGCAACTTGTGCCCACTTGGTTTGCCGCCATGGCTGATCTTATATAATGGACTCTATTAACTTCGGTCTAGATAGAGGGTAGAAGTGGATTTTTCACAAAGCACGATGGCTAAGTCGATTTACTCCACAGCAGAATGCTAAGCTCTCTATGACGAGCATCCGAATTCAGCCATGACAAGTCACTTCGGGTCGAATACTTTCGAACATCTCTCACTTCCTCTCAAAGAATGGAGAAGTGAAAAATCTCCTTCTTCTCGATTCCAAGGTGAGCCAACTGATCATAGTAATTTCATCCTGCGGCCTGTGTGTTAATACCGCGTTATAATGAGCAGCATAAGTTTTGTTACCTACATGAAAGAAATTGAAGTCTAATAATGCATGCTCGATGGATTTTCTGGATGTTCTCATGAGAGCCTACGCAAGCGTAAATGCGCCTTGAATCCACTACTGAGGATGTTTTATTGCTTGGGTGAATGCATACATAATTGTGTGGCGTGTGCTTTGAAGACAAAGTCAATTATGCAGCCCACGAAGCCACTTTGTTGTTTCTGTATGCATGCATAGGCGCTGTCACCACTGTCGTCTCTGCTCAGCCTGATGCGACATCGTACGTAAGCGGGACCTGGACTCACTGGTGTTCTCTAAATGCGGCTACTCGACGCTCTGTCGCCCTTCTACTTTGTGCTCATCTGCGTCAAGGAGCAGCAGCAGGGTGGCGAGGATGCTGAGTATGTAGAAAGAGACGATACCTATCCTAAACCTATCTGTCTACGTTTCTTAGCCGTTTTCTGGCTGTCAAGAACGGGGAGCTACGCAGTCATCAGCAGGTTACAAATTCATCGGACGTTCATCGATATCCCCGTGGCCGCGTGCTTGCTGCGATCCCTCAGTCTTGTCTGCGGTGAGGCTGTTCCCATCAACCTCTAACCCGCGTAGCTGCTCCACCACCTTTTTACCCTCTCTCTCAGACTCGCCCAATCCCGATTGCCCTTCATCCACCGCAGCCACCACTATCTGCAAAGTCTGTTTCCCTTCTCCTACCTATACGAGTTATAAATATACTGCTTTTTGCATTTTGTGCCTTTTATTACTTCCTCATTAGTGAAAAAGTTCTTATCTATTTGGTTTTTGCGACTTATTTGTAAGAATGTATATTCATGCGCTCGTACATATGTTGCAGTTTTCATTTTCGGTACAAATTTTAATACGATGGAGAGAAAGTGCTTGTGAATGAACCTGATTTGCATTCCTAATGGAATCGACTTTTGGGGATTTCAAGGCAGTTGTTCGCATTTTATCGAGTAAAAACAGGAAAATTCAGTTGTACCGTAGTGCGCCTATTACTGTTAATGCTCAATCAATTTTCTTGCCAGCTTTGCCACCTTTTGGAAGAAGGGGACGATTTTAATTTGCAACTATTTTCAAATCACAATCTACTATTCTCTGTCAGCCAGTTCGTACGATTGCGCTGCTGCCTTCTTGTATTGTTGAATGTGAACGACACTTAATGGGTTTTCCAAGGGCAGGTTAGGCTGCAAAACAAACAATTCACAGACGGAATGGAGGAAATTCAAGGTGGTATGATGAGTTGTGGGATCTACGGCGCTGCTGTACACAAAAAAATCCTCCTCTCAACCAAGAATTTTACCACGGTTCAGCCATAAATTAACCACGTCTGCTGCAGGTGCCTTTTGAGGTCGTTACTTATTTGATCAGTAAAATTAATTCCTCGCTCCTGGGTCAGGCATGGAGCGAAATATTATAATTAAAATTCCAAGTATTGAAGTATCGGGTTTTGGGTTACGAACTAAACTGCAAGGCCAAATCCACACCTACTAATGGTAGACAGAGATCCCATGGGTGCGGATACAACACATCTGCAGCCCTTGCAGAAGAAGGCTTATAGCCAGCAGTTAGATTTGCTTTATGCAGGAAGTGAATTATTTACAGTGACTTCCCTATAACGGGTGATTTTGAGGGAAGACATGTATATAAATGCAGACCCTGACTTACTCCTGTCTATCATCCCTCGAGTGCGGGTAGACATTGAAGTGTACCTCAGTTATACTGCTATTTCAGCATAGATTTGCAAGACCCGTCCTTTGACATCTTATAAAATTGAGACCTCAATGTGTGGTGATGAGAAAACGAAATGAAACAAGTTGGATCAACGCACATTGCACGATGTAATATTGAAGAGGCGCTCCAGCATCATTAGCCAGAGTCCCGAGTTCTGCATTTTGCGAGTTTATTGTACGCTTAACTACATCTCGAATGAGTTTGCGTCTATGTTTTAGCCGCTGCGGTTTTGTTTACAACCAGCTCCGAACGTTGCTGTAAATGCAGCTTACATCGGACCAGTGGACGATCACTCATGCAAGACATCACTCTACCGATTCCGAAGCAGCAAATCATTCCTTCACACTTGCAATCAGTAGATCTTGCATCTAATGGAAAATTTCCCGATTCGAATGCCTTTGTGTGTTTTTATCCACGCACTACCAACACTTGCCAGCAACGGTTTGATTCCCTTTACACCGATATTTAAGGTCTCAGGTGGTGGTCTACTTTGTGATCCGATACTTAGCATTAACCGAAATATATTATTACTGTAATCTGTACAATACCCAAAACTGAAAGAATGTATCTTTGACATCAGCAGTAAATCAACTAGTCTGCCACCTCTTATGCAACACGTAAATTGCTAGTTTAATTTTCGGTTTTCCAGAGGACTACTTAGGATCTAAGGCATTGTGCCGACGCTGGGCGGCTTGGCCTCCTTTCAATGCGAAAAATGAGTCGAACAGTTATTAAAGAAGCCAGTTAGTCGCTTGGTCCGTATTAGAAGCGGATTCTCCGCACATTAGTGGTAAGCGTGTTAAACAACGTTAAACACTCCCAAAAGTAGTCATTAGATGCAGAAATAAAGCGTTTGCCTTTAAACACCTGAAGAGATGCTTTAAATCGCTTTAAGCAAAACCAACAGCTTTTTCTCGTTTTCTGATACTTTCTATCATATTTGTCATTCTTTATGCATTAAAGTTATGCCTATAGTAAAGGGCTGTAGAAAGTTGATTTTGTAATACATATCAAAACAGTAACAATACAAAAATGGAGGTTGTGCTTTGCAAATTAGAAAAATGGGCTTTTTATAGTTTATTATCCGCTGTTCAAGTTTTCCCCAAATTATACTCATAACGTTGAAATGAAGCCAAGACGCATTAATTGCTCGATCACAATGAAACACTTTATTAATGGTTATGAGTAATTTATCCTTTAGACATTTGTTAGGGTTCTAATAATATTCTGGGACGAATTGAGATATAGTACTAGAAAAGAATTTATATATATTCGACATGTGTAGGGCTTGAAGCCAGTGGCGTGGACCAGAGGCCAGCTCATTCGGT